TTTTTTTTTTTTTTTTTTAATTTTCAATTTTATTTCTCAGTTTTTCTCAAGGTTGACAGAGAGGTTTGTGAATGGGGTGGATATATTAATGGACACATTCTGGAGAATATGGACTGATTTGTTAGATGTTCTTGGAATTGATGGTAAGTGTGATGCCTGTTAACTCTTGAACTATATCAGCCTGTATCGATGTTCACAAGCATAGGCCGAGTGGGAAAATAATTACATTTTATCACACTGCATTAAACATCCATCAGTGGTATCTCTGTCCGCTTCACGTGGCTTTGATTTTGCTATTAGTACCTTCAAACAAGAGGACTAAAACCAGCCATTCCGTTTCTGTATATGTATCTACAGGATATCTATAAAATGGATTACAAGTCATGGTTGGTTTCTTGCTATCATCATGAAATGGATGCACGTGGCCAGGAACGGTGCAGGGAAATAAAGGAGGAAATAAAGGAGGACTAGAAGAAGGAAAGGTGCAATTGAGAGCCTTTAGAATATAACTTTTAAAAGCAGGAACTTTAGCCTCAGTATGAACGTCGGCCTTAGGCCCCGCAGTAGTTTGTCTTTAAAGAACCTTCAGCACCTCTACTTTAAAGGAATTAATTCAATCGCATCATTGGAGCCGAGCCAGTGATTTGAAAAAGGTCCATCCAGAAATGGATGAGCTAGCTTTACCCCTTACTTTAAAAGACACAGCCGTGACCCCACTGCGTGACCCTTTGAAGCTGTGCTTGCACTTTTACCCTTCCCACTTTGGCATGCGCTCGTTAATACTCTGTAAATTTTCCTTTGTTTTTCAGCCTCCAACTTGACTCATTATTTCAGCCCAGCGGCAATTGCCAACAACCCGACCCGTGCTCTTCTGCTGATTGGTGCCATTTTACTTGCCTATTGGTTTTTATCTCTTTTCCTTGGATTCTTCTTCTATCTCCTGCACATGCTGTTTGGTCGCTTTTTCTGGATTGCGAGGGTTGCCCTTTTCACTCTCTCGTGCGTGTACATCCTCCAGAAGTATGAAGGTGACCCAGAACACGCAGTCCTGCCCCTCTGCTTTGTCGTAGCGGTCTACTTCATGACGGGGCCAGTTGGATTTTACTGGAGAAGAAACGGCAACAGCAGCCTTGAGGAGAAGATGGACCACCTGGATAGTCAGATCAGACTTCTGAACATACGTCTTTCCAGGGTGATTGAAAACCTGGACAGAGGCAGCGACCAATGAACCAACCCCTATAGACCACTGTACACCAGCTCTAGAAAATTCCTAAGCACTGTCTCATTCGAAGTTACAAAGCAACAAAACATCACATGGTAAAAAGTGCGCAAAGTTATAACTTTTCATCATGTGTAAGACTAATTTATCTAGATTATACACTCAGCCACTATACTTGTAGGGGAAAAAAAAAACATTTAAAAACTTCAGCTGTATATTCAGAGAGTTTTATCCAGCACTAGAATTTTCTCAGTAGATAAACGCTTACTTTTACAAGCATTTAAAAACATCTTTTGTAAAGTTTTTATAAAAGCGAATTGAGTAGTCTTTCAAATATTGAAATTGAGCTAAACATATGCAAATTTGACACTTAAAAAGTTAAAAAGAAAAAAAAAAAATCTCACGCTACCAAACACTTCCATTGAGAAGTAACTGCTGTGGGTCCGCATTTTTTTTTCGAAGTTGCGAATGTTTTTGTTTTATTGTTGGCTTATTTCATTGCCTTGAAGTTGCCTTTCATAGATTATCAGATGAGGAATTTTCTGGTATCCAGGCCAGAAAATTCACACCATAGCTTTTAATAGGAGGTGGGGAATAAGGGAGAAGGAAGATTTCATAAATTTGAAGTCCTTAAATGCCAGTCCAAGATGAGGAATTGAGAAGTGCACGTGTGGCGTTATTTCATTGCATTTCATCTTGAGAACTTTAATTTGGTGTTTGAAAGGAAATCTGTTTTAATAAATTGACACAAAGGGAAGAGATGTAGCGTGGCAAATTGTAATTCATATTTGATCTTCACAGTGACGCATTTTCCAAGCATAAATGCATAGAATAAAACATGATTTTTAATCTCAGGACCCACGTACTTTCTCAAAAAAGGCAGCAGTTGAAACACTTGCAAATGTATTGTTGCTTAAAGCTTTCTCAGGACCAATAAGCGGCAATAAATTATCTTCAGGAAGATCTGGATTTTTTTCTAAAATTGTGATAGTTTTATAGGAGCTTTTTGCTTGAAGTCTGTGTCCTCACTATATTGGGTTTTGGGGAAGGTGAGTCACCTTACGAGAAGGGTGTATTAAACAGTCGTATTTCAAAGTGATGTAGGAGCTTTGAAGCAATTTTATTTTGAAGGATTCTATGTATTTGTAACCTTAGAATTAACTAGCTTGGTAGACTATCACTGGCTTTGTAAGGTTTGCTGAAATGCATCGAAACAAAGGTAACCTCAGGGAAGAAAGTCCGATAAGTGGTTTAACTTGGTAACCGATAGCATTCAAGGATATAAATGGGGGAGGGAGGGCAAGCATCAAAACCATAGTGGTGAGCACAGTATCGATACCACGAGAGGTAAGGTGGACTGCAGCTGAAGAGCTGCATGTTCCCTAATACCTAAACGAACAAGTAAAGAAAAAAAGGGAACAAAAATCGGTCTGTGGTAGGGACTGGCTAAAAAAGAAGGGAAACAAATATGAGTGGACGATCCGTGTGCCGTTGCTTCACCTGCGCGTGCCGGCTCCGGCGGGACTGGCCAGGGGCAGCTGAGCACAGCTTGGCGCTCGGTCTTCGGCTTCCTGTTTCCTTGGGTAGAGCTTTTGTTGGATGTGACGCTTAACTGAATGTAACTGTGGGGTGAATTTATTTTTCTCTTTATGCTGAAGTTTAACGCTCTTCTTCAAATGTGTGTTACTCGCCTAACCTCTTTTGGTCTGTATGTGACGTTTATGTGAGGGATTATTTTAAAATCCATGTTAATGGCCTTTACTCCAAACTGTGATCACTTAAGTTCAACACGGTTGAAGTTCATATGCAGTTGGCACTGTTGTAATGCATTTTATTTTTTTACGTCATCTGTAAATCCCCCCGCACCCCATTTTTTCAAGAAATTCACATTGAGTTGCAAAGTAACTGCTTTTCATGACTTAAAGTCTTTCCCATGAACAGATAAGTACTATGGCAACAAATAGCCTGCTTTGTAAAGCTGAAAACGTAAATTGCCGTATATTCATTTTCACGGCTCATTTTCCATAGTATTAGAGTCTTCCCTATAAACTCGGTGTTCCCTACTGTTGTGCACAGAGGACTGGGCTAAAACACCAGCCTGGAAACTGGGAATTGATTAGCAAAGCTTGTCGGGTCTTCATGCGTTCTGCTAAATTGGAGGCCTGAGGACCAAAGTCTGCAAACCTCGCTCGTGTACGCGGCTCCGTTGACTTCAGTGGGACTATGTGCATGAGTCAGTTTTGCATAGATTGTATTTTATGTAATCCGTATTTAATGTTGAAGTTCAAAATGCTGAATCATTTATATATTAAGAGTTGTCTATGATAAAGATTTCTTTAAAGATACTATATAAAAGTTAATTTGGATTATAGTTTCTCCCTGTCTCTCTCTAATCATTTATCTTAGTTTTGTAAAATCAGCCCTCCGATAGTAATACTCTTAATTTTGATCACCCTGCTGCTTGAAAAAAAAAAGTATTTTTATATTTACTTGCATCCCATGTATAGCAAAATGTTATGTGAAAAGCGGTATATATAAAATTGGATATTTTTAATCAGTATTTTTTCCCAGCGCTCAGTTTTCACGTTAGTCAAGTTCAGAACTAATGATTTTTTTTAAAGCACAATCTAATCTTCGATATATATACTTTAAAAATGCTGTGTATTTTTAAACATGCACTGTAGTGGAAGCGCTTTTGGGACATGAACGTGGTATTGTGTTTAATCTCTTTCAACTTTTGTAAATACCTTTTACAAATATTTTCCGTACCAAGTCATCTAGTTCATCCATCGAGGTTTTTGCTCTGTTTTTTAGAACTTGTTCCAGTGACAGTGGTTGCACTGCTTTTGTATTGCCATTGGTAGGGGCGTCCCGCACGAATTTGCAGAGATGGGCAGGTACCGCCTGTTCACCCGCGGGTAAACCGAGGCACCGAATTTGAGAGACTTGCCCGAGTCGGTGGCAGAAACGGGAATGAAACCCAGATCTCGCGGCTCCCAGCCCCCTGCTCTAACCACCAGGCAGCTTAACCGAGGGCGGGTGGCAGCGCCTACGCACTCCTCGAAGAGTCCGCTTCCCTCGGCGTCTGACCCGCCGCGAGCTGCCCGTGAAGGGGCACGGGTTGCCTGGGGCGCGGTGGGGTGTGGGAGCGCACCCTGTCTGTCCTCTCCTCCGAAGGCTGCTCCTCCGGAACGGCTCCTGGTTATTGACCTTCCCGCCTGCCGCAGCCCCTCGAAAGAACGTCGCCCTGCGTAACCGGCTGACGTAACCCTTCGGCACGGGCTTCAGACTGTCCAGTACCAGAAATTCCGGTAGGGTCTTAAGCGTTTTCAACTTCATACTTTAAGACCTAACATTTGAAACTACTGTGGTATTTTCACTACGTTCACATCTTCGCAGGACTAACGTCGGTAGCAATTTCTTTGAAGGTACACGCCTCGCCTATAGATAACTGATCCGTCGTATTCGGAACGTAACGCTTTTAAAAGCGGTGCTGGGTGTCAAAGTACAATGTATAAAATCTGGTGTAATTCAGTGCTGTACTTAATAGCGCGTCCTTCAAACCGTGATTTGCTTTTAAAGGCTTGTTGCATAGTTAGTGTGGAAAATAGACCAGTATCAATCGTAGCTCTTCGATGGTGTAGAAGTTTTTAAGTGTGATTTGCCTCACGTACTGATCTGTATTTGGCAGCTAATGACGTAAATGACTGTAAGTTCTCTTTGTCTGGGCTGGAAAATAAAAGGTTTTATTGTATCCGCATGTATTTTAAACTTTTGGATAATTCCATCGAACTGTGATGACAGCACACTTAAAAATTGATCTTTTCCTTTTAATTAGGAGCTCTGTTTGCCGTGGTGGCACTCGTTATCGGCACCGGTGTTGGTGATTTCACATCCCGTTTTGTACATCAGATTTCCAGGTTACAGTGGTTAAGTTTGTACAATTGTGTTTATGTAAAAAGTAATTCGGTCTGAAGAGATGATGTATGTATACTTTTGACATATGATCCATAGGGAAATACTAGATTCTACTGATAATATTGTTAAGTAGTTACAAATATATCAGACTTATTTTTTACAGAGCTATACATGCCTTTATTTATTACTTATCTGACCACCGAATCGATGTACTATGTAGTTAAATATTTGTAGACCGATTTCACAAATCAACTATGGTGTTGTGACAAAGCTTAAAATAAATGTTTACTGAAACTTTGCACTGAGCAGTGACTCGCAGTCAAGACTTCGCTTTGTCGGACGTCTCCGTCTCCCCCCGGGCGGGGCGTTTTGGAGCCCGGCCTGTTGCCACGCCGGGGCTTTGAGGGACCCGACTCGCTTGTGAAACACCCGGGAGCG